CGCTTATGTGTGCATGTCCGAGTGCGTGTATGCATGTTCGTTTGTATGTCTGTGTAAAAGTGTGTGTCCTTAGGTGTCTGTGTGTGCTTGATCTATGGTTTGTCTGAACATTTGTTTCCAATTATGATCTCAATCACTCATTGCAGAGAATTTAATTCTTGAACGCCAGACAACAAAACATCATTCAAGCTTAAATCCTTATGTTAGCGTGAGTGTGTTTATGTGCGTGCGTGTGTTTATGTTCACGTTTGTTCATCATACGTTTTCGTGTATGTTAATATAATTTGTGTGTGTGCGAAGGTGTGTGTGTGTGCGTGGTTAGTAGTTTGTGTTTTTGCAATAGTTTACGCGTTATATTTTTGTAGGTAGAAAAATCATTTGTATATAAATTGTTTTGTAGAGCAGAGCAGATCTATATTATATAATTTGTTTGCGTTCAATTATAATGATATGCTTTCGTGATAGGAGAATTTGGCGGGTCTTATGCTGCCAATCAACCTAATTTGATTTTTACCAGCCAACAATATGAAATGCAAATATCAGAACTCAAAAACATTTTCAAATCAAACAAATTATTTTTTTAATAAAATATTTGCTTATTAAAGAGTTGGAAATAACTATTTGCTATCTCTTTAATAAGACTGAACGAACATGGCGAAGTGTCTGTAGAAATTATTTGCGTTCAACCACTTGATTGACAAATGAGTTCAAAAAGTTTGTTGACATTGTCATTACGTGTGATTTAAGTTTATTTGTTTTGAGACTTAGCACGTGCAGTTCTTTACATGGTTGATTTATTAAGGTGAATTGAAATATTTTTGAAGGAGTCCGAAGGAGTTGTGAAGAATTTCTTTACTTTAAACCTGCAAAGCTTTCCAGCAAATGTGCTAAATGTTTGGGTGCTTTTCGTTGATTTGCTGATAATGCACCTGAGCACAAACAGATTTGTAACTAGCACTCGCATCATTAAGCCTTTCAAAAACTTCCCGATCGCTAAATGAACTGAAATAACGCTTTCCATGACAACGCCAACACCAAGAACAATGACGTTTGGATAGGAAGACACTGAATATTGTTGTCTGCACACATTACAAACATTCTCACACATATTGTCATGTAATGTTAGCAATTTCAAATGGTAATGCACTTTTCTGGATTTATTTTTAAAACTGATTCAAACATGACAACTCTTTGCTAGAAACTATTTTGATACACACTTCCATCATTTTTATATTTTAATCATTCCTACAATTACACTACAACTTGACAACGACAACAACAACAACATAGATAAAACAACTTGACAACAACAACATAGATATTACATCGCAGCAATAACAACAACACGATCATAACAACAATTTGGTAATAACAGATAACAACCACGACATATTAGCATGATATATTGAACTTTAAATAAAAAACAGCAAACAGCTAAACCTTTTTTGAAACATAAAAAAAAACAAAGAAACATTAAACTGTAATGAACAACAACAATGAAAATTCTACTTGGCCAAAAGTGAATGGCTTAATAGTATACATACACATACAAACGAACACACAAACACACACACACAGACATATGTTTGGGTATTATGCATTTGTATATGAGGGTGAGTGCGTGTATAGGTGCGTGTATAGGTGTGTGTGTGTTTGTATCAAACGGAGTAGTTTCCTGTTTGTTTTTCTGAATAAATAAAGCTCTAGGAATATTATGAAAAAAAAACTAAGAAAAATGACTTAGGAACACGTGACTATGTTAGTGACGTCAGAGGATGACGTATCTACGAAGCGCATCTGTTTGATCGGAATGTCAATAAGGGTGCGTTCGCTTTTTCGTAGTAGGTTGGCTGGTTGAAGAAAAAACGTTGATGTTGTTTGTTTGTTGTTGTTTGTTAGTTGTTGTTGTTTGTTTGTTGTTCAATGCTGCATTTTTGAAAGTATTTACAGTCGGAATCGGTAATTATGTTTTGATGCTGCTATATAAAACATTCAAATGTTTCCATATTACTAACGTGACATCAACATCGTTGTTGCAACGACTTCTTTAAATCGCATTAACAAGAAAGTGTCCACCGCAGTGGAGTTTAACAGAACAAATAATCAGAAAATAATAATAACATAAAATAAATGATAGCATGATTTAACAACAAAGGCATTATCATCACCATCATCGATATCATCATCACTGTCGTGACATCATCATCGTCGTCGTGACGTCATCATCGTCATCAGAACCAACATCATAAAACTAAAACCACATCATCAAAATTTCATCAGCGTCATCAGACGATTGACACCAACATGGTGGCTCCAACATAAACACAATTTCCACAGCTACAACACCAGCACTAAACAACATTAACAACAACATCAACACATTACCATGGTAACATCAATAACAATATCAACAACAACAAATCAGCAACAACGTCAAATCAGCAACAACATTTCTGTAACAACCGATAAACAAACAAATAATGAATAAACAACATACTGGCAAACAAACAGTAAAGCTAAACAGACGAGCAGCCAGACAGACAGTCAGACACAGACAGACAGACGTACAGCTAGACGGAGAAGCAGACAGAAATGCAATAAATGGTGAGAAATAAGAATGAAGAGACATGAGGAATAAAAGGAAAGTATGTGTCACTCACGCCCATAATATAAACTCCTCCTTCATATAACATTTATCTCGTCTTAAAGCTCTTATGTTCCCGGTTAACGTCCTAATAACAGTACAACTACGGAATAACTAATGAATAAAGTATTCGAATTTCTAAATTATTATTTATTCTTTGAAGTAAATTTTTGTTAACATGTTTGATGTGAAAAATGTGTTAATTTTTGATTTATAATTTAAAAAATATTGATTTAGTTGACAAATGGAGTGATTTTTATCAAGAATGTATCACTGTTTTCAAAAAAGTGTCATGTTGACATGTTTTGAGTTCTGAACGAATGTGGGCCTAGTTTATCATAAAAGAAATGTTAACAATGCAAATGAGTTGATGCAAATTTATTTCAATTATTTTTCATATTTTTTTAAAACCACATTAAATTTATTAATTACATTCGCTATTTAAAATAGTTTTCAGAGTTTAGTGTTGGTACTGTTGTATTCATTGATATAATAAATTGTGATACAGTCGTAATTTGAGCGCTCGAACACAGACACACATACTCATACACACACACACACACACGTACATATATATACAAATATATATATATATATATATATATATATATATATAGTACATATATATATATGTTGAATCAATCACGAAATGAATAAAAAACTTCAATTTATTCATCAAAAGTATTGAATACCATACAAATTGTGAAAAGGTGAATGAAGCTGAAATTGGAAAAAAATTAATCAAAAATTCAATCGGAAAATTTTAAGAAGCTGTCGTCAGAGGAGCTACTTCACGTGCAATCTACCTACCTACCTATCTGCTTTTGAGTTCTGTGATGAAATTATGTATTTCTATTAAAAAAAATTCTTATATATTTAAAAAAATGCAAAATAAAATTTATGAAATATAATTTAAATTGAAAATGTAGAAAACTAATGTAAAAAAAATTTATTTTATTAGAGATAAAAAGAGTGAGTTATGAAGGTTGTGAGGTGCATTCATGTCTCATTCAATTGATGTGTGATTTCAAGTTGTTGTCGTATGTGTGTATGTGTGTGTGTGTATGTGTGTGTTTGTTTGTATGTATGTATGTATGTATGTATGTGTGTGTGTGTTTGTATGTATGTATGTGTGTTTGTGGTGTGTGTGGGCGTGTTTGTGTGTGGTGTGTGTGTGTGTGTGTTGTAGATGATGATATGAAGAATCATAGTGAAGTTGGTGATGATGATGACGTTAATACAGATGACGATAATAACGATGATAATAAAAAAATGAGTGAAGGTTAATTTTGATTTATAACTTAATGAATATTTTGTAACTGAGTTCAATAATCGTGTTGATTGTATGACATTTATAATTTGAAATATTTAAAAACAATGTAAACCTAAATATTAATTTATATGCTAAACAACTGGTAGATGCAGTGATGAAAGTTATTTGAAGTGATATTAACGACGAAACTGAAGATGATGATGAAGATGATGAAGAAGAAGATAACGAAGATGATGATGGTGATGAAGATGATGAAGAAGAAGATAACGAAGATGATGATGGTGATAAAGATGATGATGATAAAGAAAATGATACAGATGAGAAAGAAGATAGGAGAGTGATGATAGTGATGATGTCAATGGTAATGATTCGTGGATGAAATAGATGATCGCCGACTTGATAGATTACGTAATAATGTTGATGACGTCATCCCATGCTTATGTCACCTTCAAAATAATCATCATCGTCAACTGTCCTGAAAACTGAAAACAAGATTGTAAACAGCACATTCGTCATTCCAATTGTTTATTGTTTTCAAAATCTTCATCGTCGTCATCATCATCTTCTTTTTCTTTGTCATCATCATCAACATTCTCTAATTATTATCACCATCAGCATCATCATCGTCTTTATCATCATCCGAGTTTATCATCATTTTAGCATGCTTTTGTCGTTGTTCATTTTTCTGTCATCTGTAACATTTTTGTCATAATTTCTCTACTCATCACCATCATCACTAGCGTATTTTATTGTAGCATTTGTCATCAGCATCGATATTGTCATCATCTTCGTCATCATTGGCTTCGGTTGATATCGACAACAATAACTTCATCTTCATCGTTATCACTTGACATTCACTTTCATAAATGACATCGTCATCGTCTTCTTCTTCATCATCAATGAACTGTTTCTAGTCATCATCACTGTCAAGTTTGTGTGTCAGTACATTTTGATGCAAACCTCTAAATAATAATGTAATAATAATAATTATTACAATTATTTTATTATTGTTTATTATTATCTATTTTTATCAACAGAATTTTATTCGTAATTACGATGTAAAGTACGTTGCTTACGATGTCCCTATGTATGTATGCACGTATGTATGTATGTATGTATGTATGTATGTATGTATGTATGTATGTATGTATGTATGTATGTATGTATGTATGTATGTATGTATGTATGTATGTATGTATGTATGTATGTATGTATGTATGTATGTATGTATGTATGTATGTATGTATGTATGTATGTATGTATGTATGTATGTATGTATGTATGTATGTATGTATGTATGTATGTATGTATGTATGTATGTATGTATGTATGTATGTATGTATGTATGTATGTATGTATGTATGTATGTATGTATGTATGTATGTATGTATGTATGTATGTATGTATGTATGTATGTATGTATGTATGTATGTATGTATGTATGTATGTATGTATGTATGTATGTATGTATGTATGCAATGTTTTATGAACCGCAAGGGAGACTTAAGATGTTGATTGAAATATTGCTCTGTTATCATCGATGAGTCAAAATGAGGTTTATGTGTTTGTGTGTTATGCGGGATTGCGTCTGTTTGTTTGTTTGGCTGTTTGTTTGTTTGTTTGTTTGCTCGTTTGATTGGATTGTTAGTTCGATTGTTTGTTTGTTGTTGTTGTTAATGACGTTGTTGTTTGTTGTTGGAATTTTTTTAATAATTTTCCAGATGTTGTACGATTGAAGTTTATTGCTTATTTATATAAGTTTTAGATTGGTTTTCATGTTGGTAATTGTTGGTTTTTCAATGTTTTCAGAAGTTTTCAATGTTGTTTGTATTAATATCAGTTATTGCTTTTCCAATGTTTCGTCTGTTTTTCCTTTTTTGCTATCCATTTTTTATATGACATTGCAGGCATTCCTGAATGAAGACAGTTGTGGAAGGAAGCATCATCTGCATCGTAAACATCCACACATGATATGGAAATAAATTTTATTGTTATTTCAGCGTCATATATTTTGCGAGTTTTTACATTTGAAATCGGTATCAAGTTTTACTGCGTGAACATATAGTGCTCTGAAAATTATCTCAGAGTATGTTGTATAACAGTTATAACGTGTTAAAAGTTGATGTAAAATATTAACAGAAGATCTAAACATGTTTCAAGTTGTGCATTAAAATGCCCATCTGTCGATTCTTCATATTTTTATTTTCTCTTTACGATATATTTTAAACTGTTCACAAATTTTAGCATACTAATGCTGTTTGTTATAGGCTATGCGTTAGTTGATGTTTTACAATACTTTCCAAGAAATTAATTTTTAAAACGAACGAAATCGTAGTTAACATTTTCCCCATCTCCAACACCGGCATAACATGTCTCTTGCTACTGCTAACGTACATATACAAGTACAATTTTTCCAATCTGAAACATCAACAACATCATTAATCATCATGCTATCATCTTCCTTTTCGTCACCTTCCTTATCAAATAATCAACAATCAATGCCCTCGTCATAATCATTATTATCATCCTCACTGAATTCTTATTTCTAATTCAGCGCCATCATCAACATCACCATTGCTATGGTCGTCATCGTCGTCGTCATCATTAATCATCATCAGCGCGCCCTGGAAAAGTTTTACAGGAGTTGGAAAAAATTATACATCTCGCCAGACAACGCGATGAATAAAGAGCATTATATTTTGATTTTCGCGCAGGCTGAATTATTGACGAGAGCCGAATAAACAATTCAAAAATTAAAACAACTGTTTTTATGCCTGTGCTCAGCAGACATTATTCTCTATCCACGTTTACAACTCTTTTCAAAGTATTCCATAGCTGCTATTGCACGCATACACACACGCGCATATACACACACACAAACACAGACACATATACACACGCATCACACACGCACACACATACAACCTATATAACTATGTATGTGTATGGAACTTTTGTTTGTTGTTTACGATGTATTTTGTTTTTTGTTTGCCATGTTTAGTTTCTGGTTGGCAATTTTGCAATTATAAAATCTCGGTCATAAAATAAATAAGCCTAAAATTTGTTTTAGCGAAGATAATTAACAATTTTGCTGAGTTTTCTTGGTTAGGGTTATATGTATGTTGTATGATTTTTGTTGAAAATGTGTATTATAAGTCTATATAAGTACATGTCCATATGTATACACGTATGTGATATATGTGATATATATGTGATATATATGTGATACATATGTGATATATATGTGATATATATGTGATATATATGTGATATATATGCGATATATATGCGATATATATGTGATATAAATGTGATGAATGTATAACATAGTTGCGGTGCATCTGTATCTGTTATTTCTCCATGGCCTGATGTTATTTATAGGTGTTACATTGCATCCCTTACATATTTTTTTTTCAAATTTCAAAGTCGAACTTGTTCAAATATCATTTTTCAATTAACATCATTTTTTCCTATTTTAATGAGTAATTTTTTATGAAAAGTAATTATTCATATATAATTTTCAAGATATTTTTCAAATGTATGTGTATATTTCTTAACATTATATATTGGTTTGCAACAATTCTACAGCGTCATTCATGGATGATGCGATAATTTTCCGTATTTATTTTTATTTTAACTTTCACTTTATGAATGCCAAAATTGTTTCTGAAAGATGTTTCAAACGTCAAAATGTAAATCTGAAAATTATGCTGCGAACGTCGGGCTGAATAAGGAAGTTTAAAAAGTTTTTCTGGTGCTTTAAATCGACCACAACAGCTTCGTTGATGAAGTTATTCTTAAACTTTTTGGCTCAACTAATAAACAAAATGAAAATTGAAATAAATAATTTGTCTGTTTTTCATACATTCCCATGTACAAAAATTGCACACGACAGTTACAAATGAAACATTTAAACACCGGAATATTGCCAAAACACACATGACTACGACCAGCAAACAGGAACTGAATTTTTGTTTACGAAAGTTACGCACAAATACACTGACTTCCACACATACCCACACACACATACCCACACACACAAACACACAAACACACACGCACTCACATTCATACATACTCGCATATCTACATTCATTCATGCATTCAAATTGGAAAAAGACTTTGAGAAAAAGAAGAAGTTATTGAATTTTTTCCTGATTGCTATTTAAGCAAATGTAATTCCAAGTCAAATATGCCTCATCATCATCATTCGACGCAAATATGCGCGTGTGAATGTGTTCGTATGTTTGTATACATACTGCTAAATATTCAAATATGTTTTGCTCACAAATATAGGTCTACTATGCATGCAACTGTAAATGTGTATATGTTATGTAATATATGCATTAATATTTGCCTGATTGTTTGTACGTATGTTTTCCTGTGTGTGTGCGTGTGTGTGCGTGCGTGTGCGTGTTGTAGTGAGCGTGTGCACTAGACACCACCATCAAATATCTTCCATAATGACGTGTACTACAGGAATGTGCCACAAACAGCTAACAAAAGTGTGGAATGCATTCTTCGCGTGTTTGTACACACTTCCATGTCTCGACGTTCGTGTGGTTACGTCGTATTACTGTATGCAATTTTTCAACTTTAATAAATTGTTATTGTCTGTTCGTGTCAGCAGATGTATGTACACATGCATGTGTGCATTTGTATACGCGAGCTACAGGTGCACAGAGAAGCTTGCACGTACGTTTCATACTAGATAATTACATTGCGAAGGAACATGACTATGAAGCACACCTTACAGAGGTTTAATGACACACGTGTGGCGACCTTGAAAAGATGAAATATGTGTCAATTAGCACTAGCATCATTATGTTTATTCCGATTTAGTTGAAACACGCAGGAACTTTAATACAGGCATGCACATTCAAATTGTTCCTATTGCTACCACTACCGTCCGGCGAGAAAGTCCACTCCCATCCAGGGTGGTATGTTTGTTTCAATTGGTGTTACATAGTCAGTAGTCATGTTAAATAGTCAAGTCACTAACATTCTTATAAAAAAAAATATTGGGTCTCATATTTTGTTGGACTGTTGAAGGATTTGTTTTTGATTTGTATAAATTAATCTGACGTATGGGATAATGCATATAAATAAACAATTAAATGATTGGATCAATGAAACCTAAATAGATAACTCAATTAATGTTAATAGCACTGTCATAATATCATCGTGGATTAACGGAAAGCGATATATCCGAAACATATTTTAATAAAAATGAAGACATGTTTGTTTTTATTTATAATTATATAGCGATTTCAACAATTAATTATTAGTTTGTTCGGTTATTGATTTTTTCATTGAGTTCATTCATTCACTCCTTTGTTCATTCGTTCGTTCATTGATTCATTGATTGATTTATTTACTCATCCATTCATACATACATACATACATACATACATACGTTAACTTTTTTCAATTTCTTTCGTTTTTTAATTCATTCGCACGTCTGTTCGTCCATTCAGTTCGTTTATTAATTCATTCCACTTGTTTGTTCACCTGGGTATGTGAATATTTTTCATTCATATGCAAATATGTAAATTAATATCCTGATGGCTATGAAGATATTTGTCGCGCGCATTATACAATCTCCAAGTCAGCCTTGCTCTTATTAGATGTACGATGTTGTTCAGTTTCCAGCTGATGCAGTTAAAATGAGACTTAGTCGTCTGACCACTCTTTGATACACTGACCGCTCCCAATGGCTGCAAAGTGGAGAATGGTTGCCAGACCTGTGAGTGCCTTTGAATATATGACACAGCTCGAGGCGGTGACGAAGGAGGAAAGGAAGGAGGAAGAAGGAGAATTAATGATATAATTCTGATATAGACGAAACGTAAAGAAAGAAATGATTAAATTGAAATATTATATGCTAAAACGTTGAGAATTAAGTGTTCGGTCTAATTTACTTTAACTAGATTGCTAAAATAATAATTTGTCGGGGTTTTGTAAGGTTTTGTTGATGTAACTAGTTGATAAATCTTAAACAGATGAAAGCTTGATTAAAATACTTTTGTCTACATCACCATTGTTTTGTGGGCATATTCTGTAGTTTAAAATTCATTTGCCTGTGAAAATTTTTTGGCAAAAGATAATTCCAATATACAAATTTATCATTTAACACATAAACATTTAATTATATGATTGAGAAATGTAAAAATTGACTACTGTTTTATTTCAAAATATTTATAAAATTATCAAATAAAATTCTCAAAAACTGTTTCACAATGTCAGAAGTTATAAAAATTGTAGAGCATACTACGTGAGTTATTTGATGTTTATATCATGAATTTGTTTACTTAGGGTCAATGTGAGATTTTGTTTCAACTTAAACGGAAATTATAAATAAGTGAAATGTATAAACAATCGCATCATTCTGTAACATGGTAAGTGCGAACTGTTATTCCTTCCATAATTTTTAGATGCCTTATATCCAAACATCAATTAGACGATTTTCACTTTTC